AATACAAAGCTGATTCATCGGGGTTATATATTTGAGAATGAAAAATATTCAAACTGTTAATTTTTTCCGGCAATGACAGTATGAAAGGATCCACAACGCTTTCATTGCAGGATCGCAAATTTCTAACGCCCGTAAACTATGCCTGTTCCTGAATTTCGCATTCCAACCTCTACTAGCCACAAACTTTATCTTTCTCGTAACTTTGGGCATAGAATTGCTTTGCTTTTGCGGCTAAAATTTCGTATGATACAGGAGTATGCCTTGCTCTTTGCCTACACTACACAACCAGTCATACAACAATTTTTCCATTTTAGGATACTCTGCAGACCGCAATTTTTTCCTGTTTCCTGGCCCAGCGAAGCAATTCTCAACAAATCTACAATGAAAGAATTACCCCCGTTACATACTACACATGCATACAAAATTACATATTTTTACCGTCTGATTTTTTCCTCTGCGCTTTTTAATGTCACATATGGTCGTTGCGTCAACTCCATACTCTGCAGTTTTTCCACTATACCCACGATCTAATTTGTCCAATATTCCAGACTTTTGTTTCCAAGATAATGTCACATGTTTACGTTTTGGAGTCATTGTGTTACATCCCGACAAGAACTATTTACGACTGTGTCATTCAACGGTGGAAAGATCTGTATGTAAATATTCGAATGTGCGTGCAACAGACTTGTTGTAACTAGTTGAATCTAGCTAAGACATTCGGTTCAGATTCGCACATACATGAAAATTCGGATTACAAGATACGGCATTACTGCCTTTTTTTAATTCGGGTCACTGGAGAATTTGGATTATGGGGGATTCTGATTAACGAGGCTCTACTGTAGTTGGTTGAGACAGCCGAGTACTGATTTCATTGAAAACCAGCACGGTATGCTAAAAAATAAATTATTGCATTTTCTTTAAATGTGAAAACCTTTATTAAAGTTTGGCTAATTACTGGGGAAAAAATGTACCCGACTAAATTGACAAACAATCTTGAAAACTTAAATTTACTTAGATTTTTTGCAACATCCTCTACCCATTGCTTTGGAAGATGTGCCTCTTGAGACAAGAAGAAGGATGTAGTTACCGAATGATGGGTGCCCTTCACACTATGCTAGCATATTTTGATGAAACATTATCTGAAAGATGGATTAGCTGGCTAGGACCAATTTTGTGGCCTCCACACCCCGTACCTGAACCCACTGGATTTTTTTCTACTGGGGATGTTTAAAAGATAAGGTCTATGGAGAACCAGTTCGATCAGCCGATGAACTGCGTCATCGAATTCGTCAAGCAGCAGGCAAAATATGCGATTTAAGTTTGAGACATTTAAAAGCACAATTTTTGCAGGTTGTGTATAAAAGTCGGTGGTATACATTTTGAAAATCGGTTGTGATAAAAATAATGATAATAATAATCATTTATTTCAAGCAATATTTACAATACAAGGTGTTAATTTAATCTTCATTTAGTTAATTTAAGATGTTAATAATGATTGCTAATTCTTTATTTGATTTGAATGGAAATAAGACTAATACAACCTAATGTCCTGCTCATTATTTTGATGCCTGCATACAACAATCAATAAAAAGGATAATGGTTAGCTGTTTTAGACATTTGCTAAAGTAAAAAGCTATTACAGTAACTACAACTTTGTAATTTGGACAGAAAAGACAGCTGCACTTATTATTTTTTATCTGTAGTATTTCACAAGTACTACGACTTCAATGACAAAACTTGGAGTTATTCAATTTTTAGTAGAAAGGACCAACAAATGTTATACTATTTTTAAAAGAGCATTAAATAGTTTTTAAGATCATTTACCGATTCAGTCTGTTACGTTAGTCAAACTTTAGTAAAGGTTTTTACATTGAAACAAAATATAATAATAATTTCTTTTTTAGCATTACGTGCTAGTTTTCAGTGGCAATATCTCGAAAACAAGAAAACTTTTACTAAGGTCATGTTGATTTTATCTGATTGATCTGATGCCAATATACCTCCCGTATCTCTCCCTGCAGACATTCGTTAGAAAATTTCTGACAAAAGAGCTGCAATTAAGCAAGCGAAGAGGTCTTGTCACCCAGATGACATTCACAGAGCAACGAATCTTGTTCATGAAGTGAGAAATGCTTTTCATGAATTCCGTAATGAGCAATGGAGCGACTTTCTGTCGGGGATGCTTGACTCAAGTATTCCTCTCTGGAAAGTTGCAAAGTCGCTCAGAAACGGAAAGCGAGAAAAACTTCCGCACATCCACGGTCCTAGGACAGAGGAAAAGGTCTAGGTTTTCGCTGATGCAATGGAAAATCAGTTCTCTCCCAACTATGACCTTGATAATGACCTCGACGAGGAGCAATATATTGTAAGATCCGTCAGGAGATATTTTAGGGCCAACGGCGTCAGTGGCAGTAGTGCCTCCCTTAATGATATTGCCTCAGAGGAATCTTCAGAAGATTCCTCAACTGAAGAGCTGCATTGCACATCAGCGGAATCTCCTGAGACTCCGCATTGTACACCAGCAGAGCTCCAAGGTCATATTAGAGACCTTAATTTGCGTAAAGCACCTGGAGAGGATCGAATCACTAATAAGGCTCTGAAGCTACTTTCGTGGAAGTCCTTAACTTATCTCGTGGCAATAATCAATTCCATGCTAAGGACCCAGCACTTCCCTACGGCGTGGAAGACCGCTGATGTCATAATGATTCCAAAGAAGGCGGGTTCGATATTCAGCCAGGATTACCGCCCCATTAGTCTACTGTCAGCTCCTTCTAAGCTCGCTGAACAGGTGATTCTACGTCACCTTGAACATTTCTCGGCCGACCACAATGTGATTCCTGACGTGTAATTTGGCTTTCGGTCTGAGCACAGTACGGAGCTACAGGCCATAAGGCTTGTGGGACGAGTAACCAGGGGGTTCACCCGTAACGAAAGTACTGGCATCTTGCTTCTGGATGTCTCAAAGGCATTTGACAAGGTGTGGCACAAGGGCCTTCTCTACAAATTGATCCATAAGGGCTTCCCCTTCTGACTCCTAAAACTGTTGAAATCCTTCCTCGAGGGTAGGAAATTTCGGATCAAAATTAATAACGTTCTGTCGACAACACGGCCCATCAAAGCCGGTGTCCCTTAGGGTTCGGTTCTTGGACCAGTCGTTTATTCACTTTTTATTCATGACGTCCCTCGCCCCAGCAACTGTGAAATCTATCTCTATGCTGATGACACTGCCTTGGTGGCCCAGTCGTGCTCTGGGGATCTAGTTCACGACAGGCTGCAAAGTGCAGTGGACGAGGTATTGGAATGGGCGAACCGGTGGCTGATCAAAATTAATCATTCGGAAACGCATTCTACTAAAAAACGTAGCGGCGCCCCGTCTGAGGTTTCAGTGAATGGAGCTAGGGTACCATGGTAAAGTTCTGCTAAGTATCTCGGTGTCACTCTTGACAAGGGAATGACCTGGCAGAAGCACACTGAAGCGTTAAAAACTAAATTCCAAATCTCGTTTCGGCATCTCTACCCTATGCTATGTAGAACATCAAAATTAAGTTTGATCAACAAAATTTGGCTATACAAGATGGTTATTAGACCAGTGATCACTTACGCAAGTGCGGCTTGGTGTTTTCTCGCCAAAACGCATTTGCGTAACCTGCAGGTTTTGCAGAACAGAACCTTGCGTACAATCACTAACGCCCCATGGCATGTTTCCAACGAGACCCTTCACAGAGACCTTGACATTCCTTACCTTATCAAACAACAAGCGCAGCTACGTTATAGTCAAGCCGAATCGCATAACAACCCTTTGTTGCGCGAGTCAGTAGACTACACAGTCGAGCAAGTTCGCAAGCACACGAGGCCGCGACTCGCACTGTGAACAAAATTAAATCGTGCGACTTTAGGTCCAACCATAATTATAATTTTTCTTCAACAACCAATCCCAAAATTAATTTTTGGATCAATTTAAAATTGCCGAATTCCAGTTAGCAATGCCAAGGCACCCTTCAAATTGACGCACCTCTTTTTTCTTTGCTCCCCCTCCTTCCTTCCTTCCTTTCTTCTCTCCTTCTTTTTCCCTGACTTTGTTTGGTATCTGGGCAACCAGACCTGACAGACCCTCTGACTTACAAGACTTCAACCAAGAGCAAAGGTCCTACGGAACGTTCTGACAGACAATGACGAATAGAGAGACCTCCCGTGTCACTCTGGCGTCTTATCTCTGGGACACCCTGAAATGCCTGTTACCGAGATACAGAGTGTTGAAATTATAAATTCGAAATTGAAAACAAAAAAATAAACAAAAAATCGGAATATTTTGCCACCGTGCAATATCAGTATCATCATTAACTCATTAACTTCACGGCTCAGCTGCTGTAGAAGAATAAAAAAACATAAACGTCTCTTTGACCGATTTTCCATTCTTGGGCATTTTTATAAAGTGGGTTTCTATTATTTCTTACTAAATTACCTTATTTTATTTATACCAACTATGCATGCTGAGGTGCGCCGATTTCTAAACCGGAAACAGATCTAAATGCGGCCAAGTGACATTTGTAGCGTGTGTGACCACCTTGGATTTAGCTTAGTTTGGGCACACCTAGACCCACCCCGACCGTAAGGGTTTGCCTCATTTTTTTATCAAAGTAGGGCGTAGCCAGGGAATGTTTAAGAAGCTTGAAGTTTTCAAAGTTTGCTTTTCACTCGAAGATACTCGTGCTGATCATCATATTGAAATCTCGAAGTCATCCAATATTTTTCATAAGTCATCAGTTTTTGAATTTCTTTTTAATGTGCATTAGCCATTTTTGGCCGAAGCCAAAAGAATTTTATGTCTTTAAGATGCTGGTATTCCTCAGTTTGTGTAGGCATGAGAGAAATTATGCAATGCCGCCTGTAAACCAAAATGATAGTCTGTTATTTTTTATATGTATGAAATGTATTTGTTCTTTTGAATACCTAACAACGCGCATGATTGCGAGAGTGGTATATTTTATCTTTATTAACAGGTGGAGGAAATTCGGGACATGATAGACAAGATACAAGCCAACGTTGAAGAGGTGAAGAAAAAGCATAGTGCCATCCTGTCGGCACCACAGAGCGATGAGAGTGAGTACCTACTTCTATATGTGCATTTATTTGTTAAGGTTATATATGCGTAACTGTAATTTGTTATTAAATGCGCCTTTTTAAAGAAGTATCGTCTGTAAGAGGTACCTGTATAGTCTAACCATATTAGACCAAAATACCCCTGGTTTGCGAAATAATTGTAAAGTCTGGTTTTATTGCTAAAAGTTATTCAAGGGGATCTTCAAAACATAGACGCATAAAATGGGTATAGCAATTTTTGTTTGAACATTTTTTATTCGGCAACAACGAATGAGAAAACGTGTTTTTTTTAATTCAATCAAAAGTGTTGGCAGGAACGAAAAAATTCTTCACATAAGATTTTTAGGTTTTTATGGGATCTACAAAATGAGACACACGTAAAAAAAATCGACTAATAGCAAAAAAGTTATGGCTGAAAACCAAGACAAACTGCAGGTTTTGGCACTTGTTGGTAATGCGACTATGGTTTCTCGCAGATATTTGAAGTTATTCAAAATCGTAGGATGCGTACTTCTAAATAACCACAACAAAATTGGTGGTCAAGTAGTTTTCAAGAATTTCTAATTGTGTATTCCAAAATACCTGTTTTCCGACATCACTACTAGGTTATTGAGCAATATACAGGTATTTTATAGGAAAATACACTAGTTTACCTTGTCGATATGAATCGCAAACCATTCCGGAAGATGAATGTTATTTTTATGCAAAAAAGGATGGGCTGCGTTTTTTCTTCTAAACAAATTCAAACATCTCGTATTTGTGAGTAATTCGCAACAAAAGATTCGAATTTCGAATATCGTAGCGCATTTGTGCAATTATTCACAAATACGAAATGTAGTTGAATTTGTTTAGAAAAAAAACGCAACCTTTTCGCATAAAAATAACATTTATCTTTCGGAATGGTTGGTGATTCATACCGGCAAGGTAAACACGTGTATTTTGCTATAAAATGCCCTTTGAACGAACCCTTTATATTGCTTAGTAAACTAGTGTGATGGCTAGAAAACAGGTGTGTTGAGATAAACAATTAGAAATTCTCAAAAAGCTACTTGGCCAATATACTCCAATTTTGTTGCTGTTATTAAGAAGTATGAATCCTACGGATTTGAAGCATTTCTAGTAGTTGCGTGAAATTATCGTCGCATTACTAACAACTGCCAAAACCTGCATTTTGATTTGGTTTTTGGCCATAACCTTTTTGCTATTAGTTGGATCTTTTTATGTGTGGTCCCATTTTGTAGGTCTTATAAATACCTAAAAATCTTATATAAAGAGTTTTTCCATTACTACCAAACACTTTCGATCGAATCCCAAAAAACATGTATTCTCATTCTTTGTTGTCGGATAAATGTTTTCCCACAAAAATTGCTGTACCCATTTTATGCGTCTATGTTTTGAATACCCCCTTGAACAACTTGCAGCAATAAGACCAGACTTTACAATTGTTTCGGGGAAATTTGCTAATATGATTGGAGTATGTATAAGTCAAAAATGCAGGATCATGTGAATATTTTTCAGAAGTGGACCAACATATTTTGTCATAAAGTTCCTTGAATTTATTTTGTATGATCGACTTTATTGTGCTATGTTTACAAATAAAGATGTTTTCATTGAACTAAGAACTGAACATTTCAACAAACGCAGTTACTCAAACACGGAGTACAACATGAATATTTCAATCCAGTGGGAGTCTTTCTATTGTTCTTGTCCATGATCTTTCTCCGAGCTTGCATGAAAACTATGCAGGGCATTATTGCTAAATTCATGAAGACTGATCTTAACATTCGATCAGCGAATGTATGTATAGTATATTAGGTGGTGTTCAAGCTGAGCAGGCCAGGTTTATTATTAAGAAATTGATCATTTGATATTATAGATATTGATTTAGTACCAATGAATATAAAATGACTTCGCAAATGTTATATAGTATTATGAGGAATACTACATAGCCGGTCATTATATGTATTATAAATGGCAACACTGGCTTGATTATGTCTCCCTAGTGACGGAACTCGACCTGTAACTTAACTCCCTATTCCATATCACATACCATTCGGACTGGTAACACCATTGATTAAGACATAACATTAGGATCCTGCCACTAACACTCCCTATGATGCCTTAGGTGTGAAATACTCGTTGTAACATACTGTATATATGTATGGCTCTTATCCTGTTGGATACGCTCTTTTCACAAAACTAGAGGGTGCTTGTTATATACCAATAACCAATATATAACTAAAAGAAAGTTATTGTTTTTGAACAGACATTACACTGAGGTAGAAATAAAAAATGAATTATGATAGCATCATTAACAGCAAATGAGTGAGCAGTTAAATCGTCCCAATATTTGAGGGAATGCAGCAAAACAACCTTTGTTGTGCTAAATCTAAAGTCCCACATCGTCAGTTGCATGTTTCCATGAGGTATATGCAGTTACCATCAGGTAAGGTGTTTTGTCGACTATTATTTCATTGCCGATGAAAAGCCTAAATATAGATGACCAGTAATTATCTTGGTACCATCAGAATACGATTAGGAGCCAAGTATGGACTATGATTTTGTGGCCATTTCAGAAGACCACTAGGCTGCAAATTGTTAAGATAAGCTTTACACGAACCCACCGTAATTCTGCACAAGTCCACCATCTTATTCTCATTCGATCTGACTCCGATTACCTCGATTCTAGTTTATTTTACACAAATGACTCCTATCCCAATACGCTGGCTTAACATTTTTGTCGCATAGGAGTTCGGCACTTGTCTGCTTCCGGCAATAAATTTTGAGGCAATTGAATCTGAATTAAGGATGTCGCAGAAGATTTTCGTCTACAGATCCGAGTTCCTTATGGATGTATGTGAATGTGTACGTATTGCAGAGAAGCTTTTCTGAATTCCACTGGTGCGTTTTCCACAAGAACTCAATTTATTTTCCAATTATACGGGCTACGCGGGGGTCTGGGGTGAAGTTAGCTGATAACTTCGCTTTTCGGGAAGATTTCGGAGAAGACGGATGCCGGTTGTTGTGTAATACAGGAAATGATTTTTGAATAAAAAACTTTTTTTGCGTATTACTGTTTTAATCACGTAAAATCTTGGTTGAAACGGAAATCGCTGGCATGGTTTTTCGCCAGAGATAATATAAAATCGTACTGATTCTCATTTACTCCTTCCACTTCCTACCACTCTCGAGTAAATCCAAGAATCCCCTATTTGGCTCCCCCACTGTCAGCATTTGTGAAGTGTGTCTCTCCGGCAGAGGTATTACGTTTCTTGAAAAGTGACATTATGTCATTTTTTGACATTATGTAGGTTTGTATTTTGTAGGTTTTTTGATATCATATAGGTTTTTTACGTAATAACTCTACGGGTATGCTTTAAATGCACGTTTTATATCAATTACCCCAAATTTTTCTCTTCGACCCTTTCATCAGATTGAGTTTAGTCAATGATTGTGGGAAACATATGTTTTTGTATATAATTGTACCTAATGAAGGGTTACTACTCTTGGGTTACTGATATTGCTGGTTAAGCCACGACCATCATACCGGACTTTATCAATTGATGACCAAGTATCTTAATTCGACCCATTCAAATGTTCAGTACGTATCATACAAATAGTATTTTCTAGTTAGATCGTTCAAGCTCAGATCGTTTTTTATTCTCCGTCTTCAAATGTTGATCTTTTATTATGAAATTATGTAGGTTTTTTGATACTATGTAGGTTTTTTACATTATATAGTTTTTTTTTTTATATAATGGCACCTTTAAGCTAGCTGACACTCACTTCATGCTCACTTTTTTTGACAGAATAGCCTTTCCACATGGTTCAGCTAATCGGCACGTTAGATACGTATGAAGTCAAAAAGAAAACACGCTAATTTTTCTTTAGAGTAAGAGTCGTTGTTGGTACAGTTGGTGAAATAACACCAACATATCATTGAATGCAAGAAGTCTGAGGTGAATTCACAAAAATTGAACACTGAATCGTAGATTGCGATAGCGAAACAGTTTAACTCTCGTAGTGGCGATGTACATCGTGATCCAAAAGATCTTTTGTTCTCGATCTCGTAGACAATAAAACTGCTTCCTTTGTGAGGCGAAACCTGCTGGAAAATTCACGGCGATCTTATTTGTTGAAGTAATGTTAACTGAATCTTTAGTTCTGAGATTTTCTGGGATGCACCAACACATCAGACAACTAGGCACATCAGTCATTTGTTCAACAATATCATCCATTTTCGATTAACATTATCCAAACTCTATACACATAATATCCTAAGTTTTGCAGCGATTATAATAATAATAATAATAATAATAATTTATTGCTACACACTCATCAAGGGCTACTCTTACACTTAACCTCACTGTGTGCGAAAAAGTAGCATAGCTAAACTCGATACACAAACAAACAACAATAATAATAATTAGAAGAAGAAATAGAAAAGTAAGTAAATAAAGTGGATATGGAATGTGTTTTCAATACTGTCACACGAGCCAACAGAATATGAAACAGAAAAAAATTTAACAAATGCACAGTTGAAATAGTTTAAATCAGAGTACTATACTTGAACTATCCCATCAGCTGTTTCTTAACGAGTCTCCTGAAAGGTACTATTAATAATAATAATAATAGCTTTATTGTCCAACAGTTTCCCATTTATAGGACAATTTATAAACATACTACAAAAGCAAAAAAAAGCGAAAGAAAGCGAAAAGAAAACATCAAATGCAACACAGGTATAAATTTGTAACATGAGCTATTGGTCCGAATAAGCCTTAGCTGCCTTTAGCAGGTAATTAACATTTGTCGTAAATATATCACAGTAACATCCAATTCTGTTTAAGTTAGAGCACATTACATATAACGGTGACTTGAGAAGAATGTTTGTCATTGCTGTAGGAAGCCCGAATATTTTATGATTGCGAGATGCAAACGTTGGAGTACGTAACTTGATCTGTTCCAAGATCATGGGGCAATCAACTGAATTGTTGATCATTTTGTAGCCAAATATTATTGAGGCACAGTACCTACGTTTTTTCAAAGTCAACAT